TGCTTCGAGCATTTTTTTATTTGCTTTGTAATTACCTGAAAGCAAGTACGAGTATTCTCTCTTTTTAAAGTGCTTGGAATAAAGGGTCATGTTCCTTGTAACGGCCTTAAAACGCGAATCCATTCCCGATTTGTATTGCTCGTCATACCGTTGCGCGACGAGTTTTCTCCTACTTATGGCAAAGAATAGACTTTCCTTAGACTGTACTGCAGAGTTCTTCATTATTAAGGGGAGCGTTTTCCGTCACGTTGGGCACATATTGAGCTGGCGGCCCTGCACTAGACCAGAAATTCGCAGCGTATGCGATACACGAAAAGTCCCTAAGGAAATTAGACCTCCCGGTCCTTTGTGCAAGGCTGTTGCAAGGCGGAGCACAAGAATTCCTTCTTTAACGCGCTCACTTTTTTCGTTAAAACGACTTCACGCATCAAGGCCGACAGTCCCTGCCACCGTTACCGCGCCGCCGTCGCCGCTGCCGTCCCCGCTCCTCTGGTTCTCCGTTCGTCCGCGGGAGGGCGAGCGGCGCGCTGGAGTTGCGAATAACTGCGATAGTGACAGTGTGCTGTGCTATGAATGTGTGGCATTGTGCACTATGAAATGCGAAAACAGTGTTCGTGGTACCGAGGTGACTTTCATTTCATCCGGTTTCAAAAACTGGAAGAAGGTCACTGAACTCATGAAAAAAGTGAATGCCACAGCCGGTCCCTGGATAGCTTGTTGCAGAGACTGCAGAGAGCACCAGTGATCAAGCTTCTCAGTGAGCAGAGCCTGAAGGAGCAGAATGAGGCGCGAACGGCACTCCGTGTTGTATTCAGTTCCATCAGATACCTTGCACGCTCGGGTCAGGCCCTGCGCGGACATTCCTACGAAGATGGAAACCTGTGGCTTCTACTCGACGAAAGATCTCAAGACCTCCCGGCCTTGGAGATGTTGATGAAAAGGCGGGACAAGTGGCTGAGCGCTGACGTTCAAAACGAAGTCATTGAAATCATGTCTCACGAGCTGCTGCGGGACATCATACAGGAGGTAAACCATTCAACCTTCTTCAGCATCATTGCCGATGGCACGACGGACGTTTCATCCTGTGAGCAGTTTTCGCTGTGCATCAGGTGCGTGGATCCAGACACTTTGCATGTAAAGGAGATTTTTGTTGGCTTGTACAACCCGAGTGACACCACAGCCGCAACTCTTTTTGCTGTGATCAAAGACATGATCATGCGGTTGGGTCTAGACTTTCAGAAATTTCGTGGACAGTGCTTTGATGGTGCTGCAAATATGTCGGGAAGGTGAAACGGGGTACAAAAAAAAGTGACCGAAGTGCAGCAAAAACCTGTGTACGTTCATTGCAGCAACCACGCCTTAGATCTTGTTCTGCAGGAGGTTGGACGAGGCTGCGAGCTGATTCGCGACGCGCTTGCCATCGTTAAGGACGTTTCGGGAATCATAATGGAGTCAGCGAAGCGAACGAAAGCATATAAGAATGTTGTGATATCTCTTGGCCACGAGAGCGAAGAAGGTACCATCGCCAGTGGAAAAGTATCCAAGCTGCTTCCCCTGTGCCCCACCCGGTGGGTTGTTCGAGTAAAAGCGATGATGTGCTTCGTCGAGAACTACGAAAGGGTGCAACTAACCCTGAAAGACATTTTGAATGACAGGGGGTATCCGCGAGACGATAAGAAGGCAGCAATACACGGCTTCTTGAAGAAAATGCAAAAGTTCGAGACCGTGTTTGGTCTCAACTGCGCCATCACAATATTTGGACCATGCGAAGAACTTGCAACATCGCTAAAAAAGCCAGATACTTCTGTGGGAGGAGCGCTGAAGGCGACAAAGGTCCTGGAAGCACACTTGACAAGGCAAAGAAAGGAGAGTGGGTTCCAAGAAGTGTACGAACGTACAAAGGGGGCAGCAAAGAAGCATAAGCTAAAGGCCCCTTCAAACAAGACCACGCGATGCGGTCCTCCAATAAGGTTCGAACACAGCAGCGAGCCCTGTCAACAAGCGTTTCTAGACGCGGTGACAGGCCTTCGGAAGGAGTTCTACGAAGCGTTAGATTGTGTTCGCGCCGAGCTTGCAAGACGATTCAAGCAACCAGGCATGCAAAGTCTCGCACAACTAGAGCAAATAATTTTGTGCGCTATTCAAGAGAAGCCACAAACTGCAGAAGAACTTGAAAGGAAGTTAGGATCCCAGGCTACTGATTTTCACCTGGAAAGCCTTTCAAGGCAGCTGGACATGGTTCACTCGCTCTCAAGCGGTCAGGTCGGCTCCGTACCCGAGTTGTGCCGTGCTCTGGGCGGACAAGTGCCAGAGGTCAAGAGGATGATGACTGAGGTGATGCGCCTTGCGGCACTTAAAATGACAGTGCCAGCGTCAGCGGCATCAGCTGAACGAAGTTTCAGCGCACTTCGGCGTATCAAGAATTAACTCAGAGCTACCATGTCACAAAAACGACTGACTCAGGTAATGCTGCTGCACGTAAATAGTGAGCGAGCAGCAAAACTTGATCTGAACTCTATCATCAGAAAGTTCGTGTCGAGGACGGCTGAACGACGAACCGTTTTCGGGCACCAGTGAGCTCTTTCTTATTTCACGCTGTTTGAAGACGTCAACATGGGCGAAAAACAAGATCACCACATTCCAAAAGAGGAAAAACATATATTCGTTCTAAATAAACGTTTGTGAGCGCTTCGATTTTATATATCCATATTGTTCTAGATGCTTCATCCCCCCCCCCCCCCCCCACCCCAATTCCGTTGCCCCCCCACCTCAGAAATACTTCCGACGCCACTGGTCGGGACAATCTAATCTTTCATGGGTTTGTTGATTGTCCTTCATAAAACTGGGCTCAGACTGAACAAAAAGTTATCGCTGCTCTTTCCACTTTGAATATCTCTGCCGCTCACATAATCAGCTATTTAAAGAAAGATAAATGTCGTCCGGTAATTGTAAAATTTGAATCTTTCAAAGCGAAATACAAGTTTCTGCAACCCAGACCTCTCATAAAAGGGAAATGTTTGTCTGTAAATGAAGATTTTTCACCTGCGACGCGACTTGCGAGATCAAAGCTGATTGATTTCTGAAAGTCACTGGGATCCGTGTTTTCCGAGCGTTATAATAAATTGCACGTTAACAACAAGGTATATTCTTACGATCCGAGGGAACACTTGGTTCACGAGGTTATTAATTCTGGCGTACGGCGTATTATTCGTAAGCATGGTGACAGCCATGATACGCTCGAAGGGACATCAAGCTAGGTAAGAGCGGGGTCGGGTCGCAGCGTTCCTTCGAAGCACGTAATATTTCAGTTCTTATTGGTAATGTTCGCAGCGTCACGCGCTGTCGAGAGGATCTGAGTTCCGCAATTGATTCTAGTTATTGCGACATAGTGGTTCTCACGGAAACGTGGTTATCCAGCGAAACTCAAAACAATAAAATATTTAACTGCCATAAACGGCTCAATGTATATCGATATGATAGGAGTGGTAGACTTGGCGGTGGAGTACTCATTGCCGTTGTGAATAACATTGCATCTTCAATCATCGGTGTATGTAGCCAAAATGAAACTGTCTGGATCGACCTATGTGTAAACCACAAGCGACTAATATTGGGTGTCTGTTACCGCCCTCCAAGTGCGAACAACGTTTTTTCTGAAGATTTACATGACTCACTCAATAAGATAATCACTGGCTTCCCTACTTCGCCCATCATTCTTATGGGCGATTTTGATTTCCCTATCATTGTGTGGACTGGAATTTCCCCAGTTGCTTAGCCACTTTCTGGGGAAAGTAATAATTTTGTAGATTTATGTTTTGATTATAGTCTTTCGCAATTGGTAGCCAAACCTACCCGCACAACCAGCTCATCAGCAAATATACTAGACCTTATCCCAACAACATGCCCGAAGTTAGTCTCGTCCTTATTACATTTACCGGGTCTAAGTGGTCATTGCCTATTACATTTTGATATAAAAATGCCGTCGGCGGCTGTACCTAATACCCTCAAACGTGTACGAGACTAAGGTAAAGCTAACTTTTGGGCAGTTAATAGGGACCTTTGCACTTTTAAGGAAACTTTTTACCCTGTTTTCATGAGCGTTCTGTTAATGAGAACTGAAACTTGTTCAAGATGGAACTTGATCGACTTTTAAATTTGCATATCCCTCTGAGGAAGGTGTATACCAATTCAAACGCGCCATGGTTTAATAGAGCGCTCAAGAGATTGCGTAACACGAAGAAGCGTTTATTTCTTTTCTGCGAAAAAAGATTTGACTGGTCGACGATGGGTCGCTTATTACACTGCTGCTGATTCAGACAAAACTGCTGTATATCAAACCAAAATATATTTTTAACTGCACCTTACCGTCTATGTTAATAAATAATCCTAAACAGTTTTGGAATGTCACGAAAGGAAACAGAAAAACTTCAGTGTCATTGAAGGCCGATGATGGTAGTCTCATTGCTAGTGTGGATTGCGCTAATATCCTCAATGATGTATTTGTAAGTTGTTCCTCGGTTCCTTCAAACTCTCCTACTTCTGACTGCATATCTTATGACTACCTGCCCAATGTATCCGCTAGCGGTTGATCCTGAGGGTATTGTTAAAATAATTGATTCCTTTAAACTTTCATCATCAGCAGGAATCGACGATATTAATACGAACTTCATAAAATACGCGAAGATGTATACGTCAATTTTTCTCTCTGCTATATTTACCCAATACCTACAGTTCGGTGTTTTACCTGACGACTGGAAGGTGGCCAGGGTGGTTCCTGTTCACAAGAGAGGTGATAAACATAGTCCTCTAAATTTCGCCCTATATCATTGACCAGTGTCCCACGCAAACAAATTTCACATGAAGCTTTTATTTGAACGACTGGCCTCGGCTCTTTAGTTTCGAGAATGTAAACTGTATTTTTTTATCAAATCTATCTATATGATCTTAATCCTTACCATCACAAGAGTTATAATAGTACGGGTGGCAGACAATGACGAGTGACATTAGTCGTCCACTTGAAGGAACTCTCGCAATTTCTTTCTGATGATTTTACCGAAGTCGTCCCTTGGTATTGCGTGAACAAACTTGACTCCTCCGTGAAGGTGCATGTTGCTTTCAAGTTGATCTGAGGAAACATAAGAAGGCACAAATTATCTGCTGGTTACACTTTCCAGGAAACATAATTACTGAAAACGACCCTGCATTACCACTTGAAAGCCACGGGACTACGGGAACACACTTTGCTCTATCTTCCTTAAATGCTATATAATTATGTATTTATATTTGACAGGCAGAATTGCCCAACAAACCTTACTGTTAGAGAAGGTAAAAAAATACGCCGAAAAGTTTCGTCAGACAGGGAAAAAAGGTAAAAGCTCAAAACGCTAACATCAATTCATAAGCAAACAGTGTTCAGTGCATATTTTTAATCCCCTCAGATTTATATTTAACGCGGCTATTGCTTATTTCATATTTCAATATACAGGGTGTCACAAAAGAAAATTTACACGGTCTTTTTTACCGCAAAAATAAACTAGGCATCGCCGAACGCTCATTCTCCGACCAAAGATAGCCCTAGAGGTCACAACCAGATGCCGAAGTTTCAGCCCGATCCGATAACTTAATCAAAAGTTATGTGATTTTCTGAAAATTTCAATGGGAAAATGGCGCTTGATGGAGTTTTCAAACACATGGGGCTCTATGGCACCAGAAACCGAAACCGGGCAGAAATGGGCTCCATTTTCCCATTGAAATTTTCAGAAAATCACATAACTTTTCAATAAGGTATCGGATCGGGCTGAAACTTTGGCATCAGGTTGTGACCTCAAGCTCTACCTTTGGGCGGAGAATGAGCGTTCGGCGATGCCTAGTTTATTTTTGTGGTAAAAAAGATCGTGTAAATTTTCTTTTGTGACACCCTGTACATCCAGTGTAAATGATATCACGATCGATATTTACCTGCAACGAAGTTCTGTATTTCTGCTTCGTTAAGTGTGCTATGAGATGTCTTCAATACGACACAGGCCATGGCTACTTCCTGATACCTTGGATGAAAAACACCAATTACCGCAGCGTCTACAATTCCTTCGTGGCTGAGCAACACACTCTCAATTGAGGATGGCGCCACGAGGATTCCATTGCATCGCAAGAGCAGGTTTATCCTCTCAACAAAGAAGAACTGTCCATCTTCGTCGTAATAGCAGATGTCCCCTGAAAGCACCCCTTACTGATTAGCTCTGAAGTGGGAATTCATGTAAATTGATGTAAGGCATAAACTATCGGCTGTTAACACTGCATTTAGTAAAACAAGGTCACATTGATTGCAAAATTTTTAATTGAAATATCGTGCGGGCAGCAACGATATGTGCTGGCGGTACGGTGACTTATTCATGAGCCATGTGCACACATCACTTTGATGTTTATTTTTGGCCGCCCAATGTTTTAGGGACAGCATTTTGCGAGGCGCATAAACTGACGTATTCAGTATGTTCGAACGAGACAATGAACTATAGATGTCATTGCACAACGAGCAGTTTGCGCCTCTTAATATTTTTGTTTTCCAATCGTAATACAGTAGCAGAGCGCACTCTGGATAGAAGGCGACTCCCTAGCTTTTTTTCCAGCGATCGCTTAAAGTATAAGCGCTGAAGCGCGCTCGAAGGAAGAGCTTTTCCTGGTTTATTTTTGTTTGTTTATTTATTACATTACAATCAGCACCTTGAGAACGTTAGAGAAAGCGTGGGTCCAATGTTCTAAAATGCATAAACAAAAAGTTCAACGATAAAAAAAAAAACGAAGCGAACTAACAGTTGCAGGATTAAAAGGGTGTTCAGTCATGGCGAACTTGAAGGATGAGACGTCTTCAGTGGAAGCGTCGAAGGGGAGAATATGGTTTCAATTATAGCTGGTCTTAAGTGCGAAGGTATAAAATGCAGGTTGTGTTGCAAAAAAAAAGTGGTAACTCAGGACGGGATGAAAATATGAAGGCTGAGAAACAAGTTAGTCTTGCAATGATACGTTATAGAAGATGATTTTATGAAAAAAAAGGAAAGGCGTGACATATTTCTGCAGGATTGCAGTTCAGGAACATTAATATTAGATTTCATCAGTGAAACGCTGGTGAAACGGACATAAAAAGTAAAGCGCGCTGATTGATTTTCCACAGATGCTATGGAGTCCCAGAGCTTAGTCATTGTCTATCGTTTGCTTGGTTTGCCTTTCCCGCGAGAAAACAAATAAGACAGAAGCGAAGATGAAGGGTTTGTTTCTTCGGGGCATTTCGGCGATAGGTTACATGCTTTAACTATGTGTCTCAAGGCCTCGGACGACAAACCTGAAGACCTCCATTGCGATGCTTAAAGGGGGAGGTGCGCTTTGCCTGCATCGATTGAATTTAGTGATCCAGGACGGAAGTAGATGGCGCAGTAATTGAATCTGATCAACATATTCCCCCAGAACCACGCGCCTTTTGCCTCGTCGCCGCATGTGCTGGTATTATCTGGTGTTGTAGCTATCAATAGTATTCAGTTGCATGCTGCCGCTCACCGCTTTTCCTCCAATTGCATTTTATATCAATTCATATAACGGTCTCTCGCTGCGTAACCCGTAAGGTTACGTGCCCGGGCTCTCAGAGTGGTGATGTCAACTAAAATGTATCTTTTTCTAGATGTCCGCTATCAGCGGAAGCGCGTTGTATTTCTTTATAAACGCATGGACTCCTACAGAACCTTTCGAAATGTTTTCGTTTTGTGTTTCAATTTGGTAATGGTTGAAGGAAAACCAATCGGATTTTGCAAACGTCTAAATACCAAGAGGTCTATCAGCCTCCGAGGTTCGGCGGCATGTTTCGACGCTGTGGAGGGGTAATTTATCGAGTGCAGACTGGGACTGTTAATCTGTTCCGTGCTGCTGTGATTTCATGACCAGATGTTTGCACGGCTCCTTTCCATGTCAAAACAATAATGGGTGTGGCTCGAGTAGGCGATATGACGTTTGCATCAGATTCAATCCCAGTGCCCCCCAGTCGTCTTTAAGCAGTTAATCATTTGTCTCAATATGGTGAAATTAAAGTGGGTTGGGTGGAAACATACGATCACAGCTGGCTGGGAATGGCTGGTCAATTCAAAGTGTTTATTGGCGTTTAGAGGAGAAAGAGAGTGGCAATGATATTGGTGGCTTACAAGCCTGAATCTATGGCTGGGGGGTGGGGGGGGGGGGGGGTGAGAAGGTTTACAGTAGGCAGGCAGTCATTCCTGATCGTGAATGAATTCCACAAGCATGTTCATAACAGTCGGATGTTTGTCGGCAGGGGCCCCGAGGGTGGGCCCATTCCTCCATAGTGGAGACGTTTCGTGGTGTGTGTCTTCGAAAAATCTCTTCCATTTGCGGGCAGCACCAAAGTACGTGACGTTTATCGGCAATAAGGATGGCGTCTTGGCAGGACCGGCAGTGGGGTGATATTGGTTGCGTGGTTCAATGCGCCCTGCGCGCCGGCATAATGAGGTATTACTGACTATCATCCGGCGCAGCACCGTGGATCTCCTCTCCATTCCACTCGAGAGAGGATTTACGCCGGGGGTCAGGGCCGCCCGAGGGGTTTTTCTTCAGGTTTGTTTGACGGGTTGTTTTCCATCCTCTGGGTCGTAGTCGAGTTCTCCGCTATGTTCGCCAAGCTCTGGCGTGAGCGAGTATCCGCGCTTTTGTAGATGGCTTGGCGCACTACTCGGCATGCCGCAAATTTAGCTGCGCACGGGCCATGCAGGGAGCTTGTACGTTTTCCTGGGTGTCTGCGTGGGCAGATATTCAGAACAATTTGATTGTTATGTCACCTGGAAGTAGGTCGGAGGCCACCCGTCACATTGTGTTAACGCGCTTGGGGAGTGGCGGGAGCGGCGTTCTGTTACAGCAGCCGTAGATTCAGTAAAAATCTGGAGGTGTCTTTTTTGAGCCCCATCCTTGATGATGGTGCGCAGCACTAGTTGGAGAGCTCCAAGTTCTTTTTTTTTTTTACTGACGTTCCGCCGGATAAGGCTACCACCATGAGGATTTTTAGGCGGGAAATCACAACCGCGAAGGAACAAGGCGGTCAGGGGATGATACGAAAGCCGCGTCAATGTATACCGCGAGCTTCTCATTGGTGTCCGTCCCGTCTTAGATGATTGTGCAGTGCTGTCGCACTTGGTAGGCTTGCATATCAGGGTGAGGGGGCTCGGCTCCCCTTGGGACCAATCGGTCGCCCATAATTCACATGTCATCGCTCCATGGAGACCAATCTCAGGGAGGGGGGAAAGACTCTGATATCCGAGCTGATCATCTACAGGATTTGTCGTCCGGGAGCTGAGTGTTGAATTGGCACTAGGTGAGCTCACGCCATTTCCTCTACGATTTCTCGAGCCGTGTTGAGCTTCGCGTGTGCATTGAGCACATGTCCAGCGGTGTGCATCGGGCAAGGCCGGTAACGATCCGAACTGCGTTGGTATTGAGGATCTCTAGTTGCTTTCAGTGTGTTGGGAGTTGGTTGTTGGGGGGCACCGTAGCAGGTGCGAAAGGCGATCAAGGTTTTTACCAAGCGGAAAGCACCCTCAACGTCATCTCCTCCTCTTGTACCGATACTCGTTTTAATGATATTAAAACAACTTCAACCTCCTATTTTATTTCTGGTACTAGAAAACAAAGTTTATAATAATCAATGCGTAAAACTGAGGCTTCCCTTGAGGTGAGTGTGCATTTTGTCAGCGAAGATTTTAGTTTCGGTTTCCTCCATCGGGCACCGGTCAGCCGCAAGCGGACAGCTGGGGCCTGCCCCAAACCCCTCAATGCAGCGTACCCAGCCGAATCTTCGAAGGTTGACCAAATATTAATGTGTTCTGTATATTTATACAGTCAGAAGTTAGTCAGCCTTAATGGGCGTCTGGTGTCTCACCTGTAAATATTTAGCCAGTGAATTACCACCGCTAGCCTGAGGTATTTTACGTGCACCGCGCAGTAGTGATCGATATACGACAGCACGCCATTATGATGCTCATCGAGATTGAAACGGGCGGGGGTGGCGATTGAACGTAGGTTGACCTACGTGTACATGTGATGCAGTAACCATACTTCTCGTGACTGTATCAGACGGTGACTTATTCAAGACCAAGTATGTGATTTCAGCGAAACTAAGCCTCATGTCAATCGGCGTACACTGCTCTACGCACTGCCTCCTTGTTTGTGTTTGTTTTCGTCTTGGACAGATTTGAGGAGAATCAGCGTTAAGATTAGCGTCTTGGTTTCACAATGTTTTTTTTTTTTTTCGTGTTTTATCTACGTTTTTAAGCTACCTTCTTTTTTCTCTTTCATTGCCTCGATTCATTTGGCCACTTGCTGCCACATCGTATAGCTCTTTCCCGAACATTATGAGAAACATAAAGTGATCAGGTGAAGGGAAGTATATTTACTTTACCGCATGCACACATAGGTCAACCTACGAAGATTCGTCAAGGCACGCTGCGTTGAGGGGCGTGGTGCAGGTCCGTGGTGACCGCTTACAGGTGGTCGCGCTCCGATGGAGGAAGCCGAAACTAAAATTTTCGTTGACAGGTGTTTCCCTATACGTATCTGAGCGGCTAGGGGCACCTCGGTTTTGCACACTGTTCATCGGCTAGAACAAGGTGTCTTGTAACACGCGTCATTTTACTGACACCATGAGCGCCGCCATCCGAACCCTGCACAGCAGTGTTTCTGCCACATTGCGGACAAGCAAAGAACACTCATACATTACTCCCAGCCTAGTTTGCCGGCAGGCAACGGGCGCTCTTCCCCTCCGGGCCACCATCACATTTATATTGTAGATAGCATCATCATCAACCTTGGCTTTCTCGTATTTGCGCGTCACATACCTCGCGCTAGTGAACAGATCACGGCTCACTGTTGATTACCAGTAAAACCGTCTTAGTTCGCCGTTCTCTTTTCAAATGTTACACTACACGGTTCTTGTGTACCTTTGTGAATAAATCTAAGGAGTAGAATCTTCCCTCTCCATTCGAAAGGAGGTTATATTACGGCAGCGTAAACTTGAAGCGATCCAAGACAACAGGATGCGTAAACAGCGTAAGCGGTATTCGTGATCTTGACCTTGATTTTGCTATTTCGGGCGTCTCAACTTATCGAAGATTTTGCTGGAGAACGGAGGTGTCGTATTAAAAAAACATAACTCTGCAATGTCACTGCGGCATGCACTGTCAGACGAAAGTTCGCCCACTGAAACTTGAAGGCGTTTTTCTTTACATGTAGCATCCTTGAGCAGTGACCCCACAAAGCTGAGGTAATATTGGAAGGGAATCAAAGCATCAAGCGTGTTTAGAGAAATAATAAGAGTCTGTATTGCTTATTCAAATAAAAAATAGGTAGAGAGAATATCTTGGTACTACTAACTAAGCAAGGATAACTAGTTGACTAAACATCGGCGCAAGGTTCAGCTAGCTATAAAACTACTCCAGGAGTTGCATCTTCCGCAGCCGGCGCCGAAAATATTCTGGGGCTCTGACCTGTACTCCTTGTATAAGACCAACACTAATTTTGATTTTATTTATTTCTACTGTCCCTTGTTTGGCGCCTGCTCCATTGCTCAGGTTTGTTACTGATTGAGTAAATTAGGTTCTGGGAACGTTTTCAGTACAGCTCATTGACCAACTGTCGTCAACCAGGGTGGTTTCTTTTCTACTTCAGTAAATAATAGTATTATTTCATTACTCGATGCACTGAAATTCACACTACGAAAAATCGTTGCCACCAACTGAAACACTAAAGCGAAAAATGCGAATAATAACCGCGAATTCACAGCGGTATTGTTTCGTCTATTTCCGAAGTTTCGAGGATTGTTAGTTCCTAGGCAAATGCATTTGATAAATGCTTTGTTAAGGTATACAAGCTCAACGCACAAATGTTGAATTAAGCACTTAGCTTTGTTTTGCAAAAATAACCAAACATATATGGCCTCAACTACCTGTTCGTACCCAGCCATCAGATGTGATGGCCTGCGATGTGGCTTCGGGGTTGCCGTAATATCCCCTCATGGAAGTCGGCGTCTTGACTAACGCCTCTCCTTGTTCGTTCGGTCCAAGCACGTTCCCACTCTTTATATCCACAATCTGACAAAAAAATTGTAGTTAAGGCTCTATTAAAAAAAATCTCAAAGTGGCATTTCAGCATAAGATCAAATGTGAATGTTTTTTACTTTTCTGAATTTGCGAGACGTTCTCGTTCATTTTAATACTCGTACAGTTTCGTTTAACGTAGACGAATAATATAGTTTTATATTTTAGTGTGGAAACACTTAACCATTATACATTACTATTTGAATTTTATGCTAGCAACTCTTGCGACATTATTAACCCTGTTTATTGTTACCTATCGCCAAGATAGGCAAGAATTGATAAATTCTGACACCGGTTTATGTTTGAAGTTGCTCCCGGAAATGTAGTTTTAAGTGCGTGCTGAAGGACGCAGCATTGGGACCCCGCAGAGGAAAAAGATTAGTCGAAACGTTCAAGTTTTGTGTGTTTTCTATTCAGCTGCAAAACTAATATCACTGATGAGATCTAAACCCTTTGACTTTTCAAAAACTAACCAGATAAAGGCAAGTTGACGTTATTTAGAATATAATCATGTATTAAAGAGTTCTTTACATTCTCGTTCAAATGAAGAGCGGAACCCTCGAGCAAGAGTGGGTAGTACATGGTTTATCCACAGAGTTATTTGCGAAAAGACCTAGGTACGTCACTAGCGGTGTACAGCTTCATCAGCATGCGCACCTAACAGGCCCGTCGATATATCTCTTTTGTACTTTTCATGCATTTTGTGAATCCGTTTTTTGTTGGTATGCAATTTTTCAGTCCTGCGTGTCACAATGTATTGCAAATTTGTTAGTTCTTTAGGGTATCATGTTTCGTTTTAAAAATGGTTTACGCATTTGCCTATATTACGATGTATGGCATTTTGTAGATGCGGTGAAAGAATTCTCATCTGTGTTAGGTTTTCTTGTCCAATATTCGTTTTGGTTTTGAGATTGTTTTCAGTAAAATACGAGAAACTGCAAAAATAATTATTGTATCTTGAATGAAAGTGTGATCAAATTATAATTCTGTAAAGAACTTTGTTGCACCGAGGTTCTGAGCCTAGTCCATCTTTTCTGAATAGGCTTCTCGCTTTCAAACAAATGTTTAGCTCAGGGGACTCGGTTCGCTTTAAACGAAGATTATTTTTTTTACTTCAGAGTTCCAGTAATCTAATCGATTGTTTCGCATTATTTTCCCCTAGGTAGATGACTACAGCCAACTAATTCCTTTCTACTTGGTCTCGGGCGGCATTAAAGAAGTATAGTTTGGAGACTTGTGCTGCTTGGGGAGAAAATAATTGAAGTCCTTTAAATACGCAAGGTTAAAACATAAAAAGAATTCCCAGGACACCTAAGCACTTCTTATGAGTTGTGAATACGAAAGCATAAATCTCGTTTTTCCGCTCCCTTAGTTTGAATGCGGTGTACTGGCGTGGACCGCCACGTTTCGCTACTACGGAGGTGGCGGCCGCCGACAATATAAATGCCTCAGGCGCCGCGATGTTCCTCGGCGCCGAAAGGAGCAGAAGCGGCCGCAGTTTCCCCCCTCCCCCTCCTGCAACGCTTGACGCAAGAGCGGCGCCGGAACGCACTTCACCCTCTCCCTTTCACCGGCGTGCGAGCCGCAGCGCCACTAAGAGGGCTTCTCTGCGGGGTGGCGTTCCTTAGTACTATGACGCGTCGCGACCAATATCTCAATAGGAGCTGCTTCGTTGGGAATTCCGTGCAGGTTTTCAAGGTTAAAGACACCGCAGGGATAATGAAAATTTCTTCCAGGTTATTCGCGGTTACACACGCCGCCTGCTCTACTCGATGTGATAGTTAATGAGGTCGCATTAATAAAATCGTTATGCGTTCGAAGTGAAAACGTCCAACAAAACAGGAGATATTAGGCTTGGAGTTTACCGATTTTTGGAGGCTCATAAATCACAAAAACCATTGAGTCTAGTTTAAAGACTACTGGTACAATCTACCTACCATAACAATTGACCATAAAAGGGCCGTTATCAGTACCTGAGTCTAGAGGTCTACATTTGCGGCTCAACTTACTCCTCACAGCAAGTACACAATAATGAGATAAGAACTCCTTCACCCTCACGACCACACTCAACTTCAAGTCATCACTCACGAGCTAATTAACTCAACGAAGTCACACTCTCGCCCCTCGCTGAACTCGTGAGCATTCTGTCACGCCCTTCACCGAATGCACGAACTCACTTAACTCATAAAATCACATAAATGAAACTTCCGAAGTCACGAACCCACAGACCTCACAAACTCACAGAACTCATGAGCTCACGCCATCACAGAAGTCACTGACTCACCGAAATCACGAGCTGACCCTCCCGAACGAGCTCATGAACTCACTGACTAACCGACCTCGCTCACTCAAAAGCAGTTTTCGACCACGCCGTAGCCGCGGCGCTGGCGCTCTTGCTGGGAATGTGTTCCGCGGCTTTTACAACCCCGCCATGGTTGCTGTCGTCGTCCGCCGCTCCGGCGCCAGTCGGCAAAACGCAAGTAAAGAAATGTTTTGTATTTTTGTTTGTTTCGCTTCAACTCCTTCCGTGCGCTTGCCGAGCGCTTGATAGAGACGCGCTTTGTTGGGTTAAAAAAAAAAGTATAATGGCGAGTCTCGTGATGAAGTATTCCCTACGTATACACTGTTCGCCTGAAACCTTTGCGACAACTTTGCTCAAGTATAAAGTGAGCGTCTGCATCGTTGTTAATTTCGGCGCGAGTTATAATAATTCAAATATGCACCACTGAGGTATGTATTTTGTATTTGCATGAACACAAACTTGCGAACTTCTCCTTAAAATAAGACGGTATGCTTGCTGAGTAGAACTATTCCGAAACGGCCTGTCTTTATATTTATCGTCGTTCACACAAAATATTTCGCCTAAAACAACTGCCTGGTGCTTATTTTTTTCTGAAGGAGTTTACGTGTAGAGCTCCTTATGTGTACCATATTATTGTATATTAAGTTTGAAAGCGTTCGAATTAGTGTGCTGGTGCATGCGCTGACCTTGGACTTCGTTGGGGAACACGTATTCGACGGGATGGCACCACAGCCCCCGGTAACAGCTTGCGTCCGAATATCCCCGGTGACGCCCCCTTTAGCCAATTTCGGCTCCACGCAGTCTGGGACGGCGGGTGAACTCACGAACAGACGCCCCTCACGAAACTCATGAAGTCAGCGAACTCATGAACTGTCCTACCTAGTGAGCTCATCGAACTACTGCCTCTCACTCAAGCTCAAACTCATGAGTTTACAAGACTAACGAACACACTCACTCTGGACTCGCGCATGATTGGTGAGGGTGAGTGTGTGCACTCATCAGTGAACTATGCCGAGGCATGCCCGAGTCCGAAAGGGCCAAAGGTTAAAGAAAGCATACGAGCTCCAATACACCTTTATATTTACATTTGATCGTTCGTGTAAGCATTAAGCGAACGTATTTATACAAACTGAAAAATAAACGACTATATTTCTTAACACGTTGGAGCAAAATAAAATTAGCTCTTATTTGTTTCAACTGAAACCTGATAGGTAACGCTCTAGTAATCTATCCAGGTTTCAAACATGTTACCATTTCTCTGCTGTGCCTAAAAATAACTTGCATTTTCATATCGTGGCTGGCTGCCACGCCAGGTAAAAGAAACTCAGAATCAAACTTTGTCAGGCTCCAATAAACAAAAATGAATTACAATTACAGCATACATTCTTAGAAGTAAAATATTAATATTGTAAATACCAATAGCATTGACTAACTTTACCTTAATTTGAGCCATTGGAGATGGAAATCCAATGCCATACCATTTGGAGACGCCCATTGGAGGTTGACAGATCCAGCCAATTTCGTTACTTGCATAAACGTTTTTCAGGGTGGATGAGTCGAACGAGGGTTCCAGTTCCTTTACTTTTCGAAGCGTGGTTTTTATGCCAGTAAAAATTACGTTCTTGACGAAATTTAGCCGAACTCCTTCTTGCTCAATTTTTTTGGAGAGCTCTAATATTGTTGTGTATCTTTCTACCACCGTCGTCACCTGTATCAGGACGAAATATGTTATTTCAATAATGGGATTCACAAGTTTTATTGTTGAAGCTATAATTTCTGCATGCAGAAAATGTACTAGTAATTCAACAAATGTATTTTTACAAGAACTCCAGAACAAGAATAAAAACAAAAACAAAAAATAAATACACGCAAGATGCCTGTAGTTTTCAGATGTTTTTCTAGCAATATATGTCAGAAAATATATCTGCATATTTTAGAGGTGCACATTTTTTTGTCGAAAATACGGCATATTTCAAGAGTTCTACGACTAAAAGAGAACATGATTCAAGGTATTTTGAGTGGTAATTTTTTTTATTAGCATCAACTATTTGAGAGCTCACAATCCTTGAGTTCTGCGGTTCTGCAAATAAATAGCACCGAGGTGCCTGCCCAAGTAGCACAAAGGGGGCTCTAAAAGGGGATCCACGGGGGTCCCGTGTATCTTGCAAGTCTTGCCCAAGCGGTGTCCACTTGAGCAACCCAACTAGGCTGCCCTAGAGGCACCTATAGGATCTCCCCTGTAATAATACATAGACCCACAGGAGCTCCCCTGTGAGAATCTCTAGACCCACAGGAGCTCCCCTGTGAGAATCCCTAGACGCACAGGAGCTCCCCTGTGAGAATCCCTAGACCCACAGGAGCTCCCCTGTAAGAATCCCTAGACCCACAGGAGCTCCCCTGTAAGAATCCCTAGACCCACAGGAGCTCCCCTGTGAGAGTCCCCAGACCAACATGAGCTCCCCTTGTGGTACCCGCTGCGAATCTACTTGGGCATCCTAATCGGGCCCCCCCCCCCCCCCCCCCCCCCCCCGTGGGGCCCATAGAGCGTCTAGGTGGGCAGCCCACATAAACTTCCTTCATGGGAACCAGCGTGGGCCTATTTTGGCAGCCCACATGAGGTTCCTTCTGGAACCTCAGCTTGTTCGGGGTCAGTTGATAATTCCGCGAAGGGTGAGGCATGTAACAAATAGGACATGTCTCACTTTCTGTGTTTGCCTACCGGAGAAATGATCACTATTATGGTACTTGTAAGAATCTCCATGCCTTGATGATCGATTAAACGTCTTGGAGAAGACAAAATATTTTCTCATTTTACGTGTGCTAAATAAAAGCCAAAACTGTGCAGAGTGGGTTTCGAAGAGGTGATCGGGTACACATAGCCAGCTTGAGCCGGCTACAACTACCGAATTTAAAGACAAATAACGACATTCCGAGAAACTGAAATTCAAAACCCTGAGTAAAATATTACACCCACGTGAAACGGCCTTCTCTACATACAGGCTGAGAAGTAATTGAGTAATAAAAAAATGCAAATAAGAAAAATATATTTCGCGTGTTATACTACACTTTTCGGTGATTTGGTAGCCCCTAAACAAAGCACCTATGTAAAACTTTCTGAATGTGCACTCAAGATCCAAGGGTTCCAGACCCAATCAACCTATCTCAACAACTTTTCCAGTGTTTCTGGAACATAAAGGTTCGATCAGGATTTGATTTGAAAGATCCGCAATGTCGCCGCGTGCATGACCGACAAGGAACGCTTCTTCGTTCATATAGATTCTAGAAGATTCGCGTATACTCTAACACCGAGCGTAAATGATAAGTAGTCCGTAATGGCCTCGCCTAGTCACTCTCGCCTTAGCTCATTACCAAAAAATCTGAGCCGAATTTTTGAGAAGCCTAGTTTAGTAGATAAGGAGCCCAGCCGCAGTTTTGCCCCGATCCATCCAATGATTCTCTTTCGCGCTGGCCAGCTGCCACGCTGATGCACCGTCGCTCACTGCTGCCGCCGTCAACGCTCGCTGCTGCTTTCTCGCAGTTTGTTCTTCCTTTTGTTTCTGGCAAACGTTCCCCGATTAAACCTGTACTTTCAGTTGAATAACCGTCGTGTTGTCGACTTCATTCGTTACAATATCATAAAAAGTTTAATTTCGGGAAATGCACAGGCAGTTGAGTTAGGCGTGTCCATGCTTTGCCCCCCCCCCCCTCCCCCCCCTTGAGCCAACTTTTTCGCAAACTCTGCCCTTGCAGAACCGAGGGGACCCACGGGGAATCGCACAAGCAGCGTAAGGTGGACATGCCTACGGGCTGCACCCGTGGAGCCCATTTAAGACATTTATGCTCACTCTGCCCCAGCTGGCTCGAGTGGGACCCACAGGGGTACTTCAAGGGCGATCCAAGTTAAGGCATGCCCTCTTGTCGCCGATTTGGGGCCTACAGGGGTACTGTGCCGGCAACCCAAGTGAGTGTGCCCTCGCTATGCCGCCAAACGGTCAGTATGCAAAATAGTAGCACCCCCAGAGGTTTGTGCGCACTCGGGATCAAGAGACTGTAAACGGGTAGTTTTTGGTTTCGGTTTTGCCGGCTTGTGCATCGGTCGTCTGCTACCGTATCCGCACAGCCATTGCTCACGTCGTCGTAAAGTGCTCCATACTTACGTGCGATGCAGTAAGTACCCATTCCTTCCAGCGAATAACGCAACAATTACGACTTTGCTGGCATGGAGAATGAGCGAAAACCCCGCAATGGCTAAGTGAAGTGAACGCAAAATGAGGTACGCCGAACTTCGTGACAACTCACTGCGTGCATTTGTTTGCAACATGGAGAACAGCCATAGAGACTAGTACTCCAGTTTTATGACACCCTTGCTTCGCCGATTGCTATTTTCAATCTGGCTAACGTGGTACATGACAAACCTCGCTTTAAAAGAATGCGTTCAAGCGAAAAAGAAAAAGGTAGTCACTGCTTCGCGCCTAAGTGTGGAGCAGTCCACGACGATGTGAGCAATGGGGGTACGCACACGATAGCAGACAAGAGATGAACTACCCGGAAAAAACTGAAACCGAAACTACCCGTTGAAAATCCCCTGCTCCCAGAGCGCACGCGAACCGCCAGGGGCGCTTCTGGTTTGCGTATTGCCGGCTCTGGCGTATTGCCCATTGGGCATGCCTATGTGGTACCGACGTGGGACCCAAGGGTGTATTGTAGGGGCTGCCCCATCCCACTTTGCCCACGTGGAGACCTACGTGGGCCCCTCTAGTGCTACCTGCTTTGGATCGACAGGTTTACTTTGCCCTCTCAAATATATACAATCAGCACAGCTCGGTATCTCCTTCGCATAGCTGGCATCAAAATTTGTGCCACTCCTACGTTCGAGTTAAATGTCAGATCAGGTTAATATAAAAGTTTTTTTAACATGTTAGGAATAATGATATAATATTTACAGAAAATGTGATACAATGTGACCCTTCATATTGCTATATTTTATTTTAGTATAAAAAGAGTGCAAATCGGGCCAGCTCGTAAACGTTGTAAACAATGGCAGGGAACAGGTCAAAGAACGCCGATGGAGAAAATACACCTGTCGTGTTTTTTCATACACTTTTAATAGTAGAATTTAACTTGGTTTGTTCGCTAATGCACGTGCTTGAAATCTGGGACTGTACATTTTCACAGTCGAATTATCATTATATCCCGTTTACCTCAGACCTCAAAATTGCCAACAATTACGTAAAAGCTGTCCGTGGTTCGGTTTTACATTGTGACAGTTAATGGCGGAAATAGCAACTTTGTTATTGTATCACACAAATAAAAAATATAACTTATCAAAATAAGTTAGAACAAAATAAATATCTTTGTGAGAAGTCTCACGACTAAATTACCTATATTTTGAAAGGTTCAGCATGTATTATTTTTATACTATTTTGCCATTGTATAGGCAACATTGAAAATTCCTCTTGGTTTCCAGCAAGATATGAATTGTTTAATTAACGGCACTGAGGTACCATTGGCAAAAAAAACAAAAAACGATAGGCTAAATTATGTTGTATATCACATACGATGATTGTTGCTACTGGGGATATTGTTTATGACATACCTTGTACTTTTGTATGGCGTTAATCATTTCTTCTGTACTTGCCGGTGAGGAGAACAGAACGGCCTTTGTTCCGGTGTAGGATGCGCTCAAGAAAATTCGAAAGCCCAACAACGATGCAATAGAAATTCGGGAAGCGACAATGTCCTCATCAGTGAAGAAGCTACGACACGGTAATCAGCAAAATAAAAAATTAAAATGTTAGATGCACTTTATTAGTTTGACGATTAATACTACTTTATCATTGACAGGTTAGAAGCACGCTCTCGACGTACATTTTAGGCGCGTCATCATGACTTTCTATGTCGTAAAAAACACAACGTTTTTGTGGGCATAGTGACACATAGTAGGTGTTTAGAAATTATCTATACAAACAAATACACCACAAATACTTAAAGAAACAAATGGAAGTTCGATGGCCGAGTGTGTTAACGCACCGGAGCTCAGAGCACACAAACGGAAAGCTCTCACTGCTGAAGCCAGGGGTCCTGAACTCTATCACCAACTCTGCCCGTTTTGATCTGAATGATCGTCGTTCTTGTATGTTCTCTCGTATCACTACTAACTGATGCCCGTTAAAGAACCCATGCTAACAGTTTTATTTATCCTGTTATATCTGGTATGTAGTGTTTAATAGTGTCGCCATACACTGACAGACTGAATTCGGTTTTGTAGAACCTTACGCCCTTTAAATAATGTTTATAATAATGTTTATTTTCCACCATAAGATGGTGGCGATCAGGGAAAAAAGCTGTCAGGTACAGCTTGACGGGTCCCTGACCGCCTACAGAAAGCAGCAACAGAGCCGGAAAAAACGATATTCAAGAGGAGAAAAGAAAAAAAAATTGTACAATGATTGTCGCTATCACACATTTTCAAACAAATTTTAGATTTCTTTTCCCTTTTTTTACATTGAGGCAGGACAGACAGCAGAGATAAAATTATGCAAAAACTAGTTACAAAGATCACAAAGAAAGAAAGGCAACTACCTTCAGCTGCTAGAGAAAAAAGATGATTTTACTTCTCTTAGGGATAGCTTATCCCAATCTATACTTTTAGTCCTATACGAATTGAGTAAATTGGGGAGAGTGTATTTAAGCATTTGTTTGCCATAGTTTGTTCTTGGTGTAGCCACCTCCTAACATTCAGCACCTCGGGTAGGGAAATTATGAACATTTTTTGATAAATTTCCAAGATCTGTTAAAAAAGTTGAGTCTTTAAGTTGCTCTATTTTAAGGCTAGTGCTAAGCCTGTAATCATATAATGCATGCGCGTTTAATACGCGAAATTTTTTAAATAAGCCAGCTGTGTGAAAATCATACGAGACGGCAACTATAGCCCTCAGTGCTTTTGTTTGCAATACATGTAACATTTCTAGGTTTGTTAAAGTTGTTGTTCCCCAAACAAAATGGCAATAATTTAAGTGAGAATAAAATAGAGAATTATATATTAATAATTTAACGCTTGTTGGTAAAATATAACGATGTCGATTTAACATGCCCACAGTTTGGGATAGCTGCGGAATAAGAGAGTTTATATGACTTTCCCACGACATATTTTCAGAAAACATGACACCTAAGAGTTTAAAACAATTCACAATCCCGATTTTGGTTGAATTCAAAACTATCTCCTTGGTAATGGTAACGAGTTTATTTTTAGGACGAAAAAGCACGGCTTTGGTTTTATTTACATTTATTTGTAATGCGTTGTAATGACTCCACGTTTGTAACCTAGACAGGGCCAGATTCGCCATATCGAATAATAGGTCAGGATCATCTGCGGAAAACAGTATGCTCGTGTCATCAGCATAGTTTACAAATTTTGCGCTTACATTAATATTGACTATATCATTCACGTACATGTTAAAGAGGAAGGGGCCCAATATACTACCCTGTGGTACACCAGAAAGAATAGGTTTTATAGTGGAAGAATTCCCATTGATATAAACATATTGTGCTCGATGCTTCAGATAAGATCTCATCAGCTGTAAAGCGTGCCCTCGAATTCCATAATTATCTAATTTAGATAGTAAAATTTTATGATTGAGGCAGTCAAACGCCTTGTGAAATCTATAAAGACTACAAGAACCATATTTTTGTTTTCAAAGCTTTGTAAAATAAATTCTTCTAAAACAAGTAAGGCAGAGTCTGTCGACTTGTGTTTTATAAATCCATACTGTGATGGAGTTATCAAGTTATACTTATTTGAAAATTTAGTCAAACGTGTATGAATAACCTTTTCGAGCGCCTTGGAAAACACTGGTAATATTGAAATTGGCCTGTAGTTTCCCATTTCATTTACATTTCCTTTTTTATGCAATACTGAAACTTTGGCAATCTGCATTCGCTTAGGAAAAATTCCAGTAGATAAAAAGATATTAAATATATGAGTTATTACAGGTTCTAACAGATGAATAACATGTTTTACCGGTCTTATCTGGATGCCATCGCCGTCACAACTAGAACTATTTTTAAGCTGAAGAAACACGCTTATAATTTCTGGTTCGACGACGGGATCTAAAAATATCGAATCACTGTTTCGTTCATCATTTAAAACCAAAGGAGTTTCGGTTTCAGTAGCACCCATAATATTTACAAAATGTTCGTTAAAAGCATTTGCCAGTGAACATCCAGTAAGTTCAGTACCATTGCACAGAATTTTTTTCAATTGAACTGAAGGGACGATTACGATAAAGAAGATAATTTAGGTAGTTCCAAATGATGTCAGTGCGTCCTTGTGTGGCCTTGAACAAATCAAAATGATAACGCGTTCTGGCGCGCTTTAGTTCTTTTGTCAGGTTGTTGCGATAGTTTTTAAATACTTTAAGGTCCTTCCGGTCCTTGGATTTTATGAATTTACCATATAAAGCGTCTTTTATCTTAATTTTACAGAGTAAATCTCTCGTTATCCAAGGCTTCTTTATGCGCTTGTTTGTTTTAATAGAAGTGAAAGGAAAATATGTCTTATACAGTCCAAGAAATAACTCTATAAAAGTGTTATAAGCCCCGTCAGCACTATCCTCACACAGTACCCGGCTCCAATTTGTATTTGAAAGAGCGGTCTGAAAAGCGTTGAGTCGATCTAAAGTTATTTTTTGTACTAATGTCCGCTCTGTCCTACAATTTTTTTTCGGGAAACTTTTGAGAGAAATGAATATTGGGAGGTGGTCACTCAGATCGCAAACAATGACGCCAGCTTTTATATAATCGACTGAGCTGTTTGAAATAAACAAATCAATTAATGTTTCAGATTGGAGAGTAACACGTGTAGGTCTATTAATAACATTTGCACAACCATATGTCCTGATTAGCGAATCTAAACTTTTTTTAGCTACGGTTTCCGCGCTCATATCAATATTAAAGTCCCCACCACAAATTACATTACATTTTTCTTCATTAACAAAAACCAAAAAAGACGCGAAAAATTTTAAAAACGATTCAATGTTGCCGTTTGGTGGTCGGTACACCACAGCAAAGATATTCTGGTTATTGCTTATACACATCATTTCGTAATCTTGAGTAATGCAACTATAATCACCTATTACTTCACCAGAAGCACTTTTTGTCAAAATGGCTAAGCCACCACCACGTTTCTCTTTACGATTTATGTAAAAAGAGTGGTATGTAGGGAGTTGTAGTACGTCAGTCTCTTCAGTGTACCAGGTTTCTGTAAGCATGATGACATCGAAAGAAAAACCAAATTGATCGAAAAGTAGCTCAAGATCTACAGCTTTGCTTTTCGCAGACCGAACATTTAAATGGAAACAGGTCATGTGTGAAATATAATCCGCACCAAGATAGGTTATCAAGTCTTGCGGAAGAACGAACGCGTCAATCGCCATAAAAAAACAAAAAGAACAGAGGATATTATCATTGACCGCCCTAAGATAGAAATTCGCGTATAAGATCCTGCAAAAATGCCCGTCTTTATCATCGTTAAAGTGACTTTTGAAGATAACGCCGTCGCAATAGCCGTACCCAGATTGTTTTTCTGCCACGCGGCAAGTAAACTTTCGGGTTTCATTTTGCAAGAACTAATAAAACAAAGATGTTTAGCGCTGGTAGTTCCTATTTAATTTTTTCAAGATCGCCTTCGTGCTCAATCCGAATTGTCGGTGCGCCTTCTTGTTTTCTCACGTATGAACAACCTTCCTTGTGCCAAATAAACTTGTAGCTGAGGTGCTTCGCCTTTGCTCTAACATCGTAGAACAACTTCCGGTTCGACGCCGTCATGTTCTCTTGCAGGTACACGTTGCCATCATCGGCTTCCGACCTTAACTTTTGCTTGTTTTGAAAGCATGCATTTCGCTCATTTCTGTTCACAAAGCGCACAATCACCATAGGCGTCTTCTTTGTCCTAGTTGGAACGCGGTGGATTGCCTCTACGCTATCTTTCGTTAGGGGCGGAACTTCTATAAAAAGAAACACTTTGACTTTTTTTTTGTTTTTAAAAGTAAACCCACTTTTAGAATAACAAGACTGCTTTTCTCTGCTTGCATCTAGCACTTCTCAATTAAACATAGCCACTGAGAAAAGGGCCAATGAAATGCCAAAACCAACATTCATGTTCATTAGCGCTGTCTAGTGGGTTTACGTCACATGTCGTAGAAATTGCAAGTCGAGCAAGCAATAAAAAAAAATACAGAATTTTGCTTATTTTCTTTTGCCTTGCTGACGTGAGTTTGTCCAAAATTCATTGCATGCCCTCAAACTTATTGTAGCTTGTCGGAAACAAGCTGCACTGCCCCCACATTACAACATCTGACCTCATGTTTTCAGTATTGACAGTAGATCTTCTCAACTTAACAAACGAAATGTAAAGATTAAAAAATTTCGCGGAAACAAAATACTGAGTTGCAAGTTATGTTATTAGTTCAGGTGTGTCTATCAATTTGTTTTAGTAATTTTAAGGCGAATCGGTGAAGATCAAAATTTCGCCATTATTGACATGCAAACCTCGGGATAATTTTGCTTCGTTTTCCATGTACGTCCACCTTATCACAAAACCGCCTGAGGGCGCCTAGAGGTTTGGTACGAGCGCATAACCACAAGTTTGAAAACTCACCAGGGAGGTAACCTGGCCACGATGCCGTAGTGCGTATGTTCGACGGCCTTCGGGCGACCCGTTGTCCCCGATGTGTAAAGTAGCATAATAACTTCGTTCTTCACGTCCTCCACCGGGAATTCCTTGTACATGTTTTCATTTAGCTTCTTGAACTCAGTGACGGAAACACACCCTTCGGCTGTGCCGACGGTGAAGTAACCCTGAAAGCAATGGTCATCCAACTGATCAAGAGACTCTCAAGCATGATCACCAATGCTTTGTTAAATAACCGCAAAACGATTTAACGTCTAGACCGAAACAAAGAGGGCCAGACAATTCCGTCCACGTGGACAATTGATGCATTCGTGCATGTATATTTTTTTCTCGTAAACAATATTTAAAAAAATCCTTTTTTTTTATTATGAGCGACATGAGTGAAAGAGGAATGTTTTCTACGTAATCGGAAAAGCCACTCTAAGCTGGGCTAACAAAATCATAAGAAAAACAACCTGAAAGTTAAAAGCTGATCATTGACATAGAACAACATTTTCGAAGATTTGCTAACACTGTATAAATTAACCGCCTCTACTGTGTTAAGGGTCCAAATTGACGCTGTGCCTTTTGTGTTGCTCAGTAAAAAATGTTTGCCAGCCAGCATTGCTTCTTCAGTTCATGTTTTGTATAAGGTGGAGAAGAAAAACTAGTGCACAATGTACGACGTGAAGTTAGTTTTTGTTTTGGCGCTAATTGCACAAAACACTACTGAATAATAAAAAAAGGCAAGAATAAAGACGCGTACTAATAGGCAGTTTTTGAAGGACTTCATTTATCTCTGCACAGTATCAAATATTTAACCGCTATAAATGCATCTTTAATGTCATAACGAGCTTTTAACACTTAGTACAACGTCCATTTTGCAACACCTACTTCACAATTTATGTTGAGAAACGTACGATATTTGCTATAATGTAAGCAATTTGGCCAATAGTTTGGTACGACTGTTTTCCCAGATGCGAATAGTTTATAGCGTGAGCGTTTCAAAGCTTCTTCCTCGCACTTTCTTCACAAATTTCCACTTCACATGATCACTTAAAAATAGGCGCCACGCTGGCATAACTTGTGTTTTTTTCGAATTCGTATTTTGCCCCGAAACACTGGATTATGTTCAGTTAAAGGTGCAACAATTAATTCCGGCGAAAATTCATATTTATTTTTCATGCGCACCTTAAGCCAACGTACCTTCATGTCCAGCTCCTGTAAGAAGTCCTTGAATCGATTAGCTTCGCTTGCTGTGGTGAGAATGTAGGTAGCGTTGCTGCTTCGGATTTTGTAGAGGAGATCCCCTTGAAAAGAATAAGATAGGTTTTAACCCCGAGTAATTTGAATGTTCAATTATAGGACCTCTTTTAATCTTCACTTTCCGATTTATTTAACGTCTCTTATATACCAAGAAACAAAAATTGCGCTCTTGCATATTTTATATAATTTTACGAAGATCTTAGAATCTAGATGTGAAGCTCGGGCTTCGTTTTCGTGTTGGCCTTTGAATTTTTCGCAACGCCATATACGTTCGACCCGGTTACCTTAAACGCAGAGTACAATTTTCACTGGCCTGACAAGGGCTAGACAAATAATGAGATGCACATTACACGAGACAAGACTGTAATCAGAAAATGCACAGAAGCAATCATAAAAAAAAAAACTACAAGTGAACTTAAGACTGCTAACGCGTTGGAATGCGAAAGCATTCGTATACGTAGCGTATTCCTACAAGCTGCGCGCCCTGCTGAGCTCTGCCATGCTGCCTCTCCGGAGTCTGCCCCGGGCGGGCTCTGCGGCGGCCGCTCTCTCTTACCGGCTTCACTCTAAGAAAAAAAGGGTGTAGTCGGGTGCATCAGGCGCTCATGCACCCTTTTCCTGAAAGACGCACCCTCCGTTGCCCAGCCAGTGTGCTTGTACACCGACAATGAGCATCCCCCTCTCCCTTAAAAACCTCTAGGTTCACCAGTGCACCGCCACGCTAGCCACGCGCCCCGATCAGCTTGTGCTTGGATTCTCCCATGGGGGTCATTTTTGGGTTGAGCAGTTTCTTGGGAAGTATGGAGCTATCCTGTTCCCTCGCTATTGACAGCAGAGTGGACGCTATGCTTGTTTTAGGCCAATCGGGTCTCCGGGTGGGATTCCGTGACTACAGTCTCCAAGCTAGAGATAAGGCAGAGCACGGCACTGAACGCCAAGGCACTGAAGGCCATTCCGTGAAGCTGCTCCATGGAGAGGGCTTCTCTGTGGGGCGGCGTTCCCTGGAACTACGCGACGCGCAATCCAAGGGGGTGGCTGCTACTGACTACAGGCTTCGCTCCATGAGACAGGGGAATTTAGGTGCCGTTTGGCGCGGCTTAAAAAGCTGATAACGCCAGTTCGCTTCATTGGACAGTTAATGCTTTCGCTTTCAAATGTTCGAAAATGCTTAAGCTTCGCCTTTAAGAGTGCAACGCGATAGCGTTAACAATCCTCGGCCCGCCCCTGCACGCCTAGCCTTTGTTTCCGCCTTGTTGACTTCAGTCTTACGTGGCCGACACCGTCGCCGAGCAGGAGCAGACGTAGATCCGGCATCCGCACGCGTAGAAGACGGCGACTTAGAAAAGCGCCCTGCAATGGTAGACGGGACCGCATCCATCGCACACGTGTTCTCTCCCAGCGCCCTACGGCGGCCCCGTAGCGGGGCACGCACTCCCCACAAACGAACGATGACGGTAGGATCGCAGCGCCACTGGGAGGACTCGGCAGCGGACGGAAACTGTACGCTCCTCCAGACAGACGAGCATAGGTCATGTTCCTATGACCCAGGCTCGTCACGCCTGCTTTCCTGGCACGGCACCGAGGCCGGCGCGCCACATGCTCTTTAAAGATAACGCCGTTAAAATACATTTTCTAAATACTCACATTAAAATATACTTCTGATAATAAGTTTGCGTGTAATCAATCGTTTAACTGTTATAATATTATTCACGATTTCTGGTATTGGAAGGAATGTCGTTTCGCAAAATGGACTAGTCTAATAAAGAAATATATGTGAGCCCCGGATTCGTCACTCAAGGAGTAAAAAAAAATATAGACCTGTATGAGCACACATAGAAAGTCTATTTTTGTGACCAGCTCGGGCTTTGGCTTGGCGTTCTTTCGCTTACATTCAGTTGCCCGGCATATTACCGCGAACAAGCGCGCGGTACTTGCAAGGAGCGTAAACATGGCCTCCAATCCCGGAGGTTAGCCCCTGATGTCCGACGTCTACACCGTACTTGGACCGAAATTGGCTGGTTTAGTTCCTGCGTACAAGGTACAAGTTTTCTACCGCCTACCTCAACGACCACTAACACGAAGAACACCACGTTGACGCGGCGTTTACAGAATGTCTTCATGAAAGACCACTTTTACTCACGCGGTGTACACAGAACGAATGTAATCCGCACTATAACGAAACTTCCAGAAAATAAAATGTTTCATCTCAGGAAGGAATCCCAGTCGGTGTCAGGGGCAGAAAACGTGTATGGGCGCATTGCCTTTCCCTGAATACCTGCACAGGCGGCACTGTACAATAAAAGTTCACTAAAATACAATACAATACAATACAATTCAAGAGGGAAACGTCAAACACGTGCCTGTCTGTAATCGTCTTCGATAGAGGGGACGTTAAAACGTCCCCTCTATCCTTTATTTACGCTAGTCGAGATTTCAAATGCCGTAATGTTAAACAAGCCAGTGAAAGAACGACCATTTGACGCAGAGAGCGGGAGAAAAGAAAGAAAACACACAAGACACACGAGTGCTGAAGTGATGCCCCGCTGGTCTGCGGTGAAAAGTTTCTGATTTAACAAAAATTATGTTGCATGACTGGAGCCTAACCGTTTCTGGTTAGGTGTCAGAAACTCTTATTTGTGACGAAACTCGTACTTCAGTGGCAGAACCAGGAAACACGAGCGCCATCCGAACGCTGACGCCGCGCTCGTCTCTTTTCTGAACGCCAGCCGCGCATCTTGCTCCAGTAGATCCGGGCTGCTATCGCGGGTCACGCGACGTCATACAGCATATAGAAACGCTAGCGACTACCTCTACTCCTAGTCCACACCAAAAGGAGCGAGCTCTTCCCGGTTAACTGCGCGCAAGTTCCTTTCACTTTTTGTCTTAGTATGTGTTTCCATTTTGGTCCGCTTTCTATACCACGGCCAAGCTAGACAGCGCCATTTTTTTTACGGACTTTGTTTTAGGTTTAAAAGCAACAGGAGTTTTTCTACCGCGTGGGGGCACGCCAGCGCCACCCCTCTGAGTGCTGCCTGAAACACTTTGAACAACTGTTCCGACCACCTTGATTCAAACTCGGTGTTAGTGTACTCATATGAAAAAAAAGTGCAGTGCGCTGACAAAAAAAGCAATTTTGGCTTCCGATAAATGGAAACACGTTTATAAAAATTAGTTTTTTTGAGAAGACGACCAAGAAAAGGTGTTCTGCATAAGTACCTGCAGGCAGGCGAACTCAAGATTAGTAGCACAAACTAGTCTGGACGTTCCTTCAGTTCAACCCCGGAGGCCAAGATGCCAACACGATGAGAATAGGGTGCCATGCTAGAACGAGTTAAAGCGCTGTAGGAGGGGCGTGCGCTGCCTATTTGGGCGATGCTGACACCGCGTAACGCTTCCGCCACGTTGGGGTGTGCTAGGAGCACGTCGTTGGGGTGCGCGCGTGAACCAAGCAGGAAATGCAGTAGCCATGCAGAGTTCTGTGACGTGTGGGCATGGGGAAGAGAAAGACGTTGACGCGGCCAACGACGCATGAGGGCTGGGCCCGGCAATGGATTGCTGGTCTTGCTCGGAGAAAGGTCTGTTTTATCTGTGTGCAGCCTTTCTTGTACTTCTTGCGTGTAAGCAATATACACCGATCCACCAAAAGGGCAGCGCAACGTGCACCTTGGTAGCGGACTATTTGCCATTTCGGAGGAACACTGGCTGGCGGCAATGCGGCATGGAAGGAATGTCTTGCGCATTCTAAAGAGCGCTTTTTAAGCTTCAGATATTTTAATAAATCTGCGGTTTGTTAGTAATTTCGTTGTTTTCATTAATTGTTTGTGCACGTTCGAGCTCTAAGACAACACTGCTTTATTTATCGTTTATGAGAGTCTCTCAACCGTGAGTGGCGACTAATTCAGCAAGAGACCCCTGGCAACACTATACGACAAGCAGCAAAGATCCCCGAACCGCACGCCTCACCCCGGCGCGCGGTTCGAGGTTAGGCCGGGATCTTACTTGCGTAAATGTATACATCGTATAAGTATACGTCTCTTTCCTTGGCACTTAATGCGTTTGTTTACCCTAAAAATTAGCCCACGGGCTGTTGTTTTCCCACGACTTCAATCCTTTCTATTCGTCGAAGACGGATTTGCGAACACATGCTCGGCTTATACGGTGAGCAAGTGTTTGAAAATTCGTCTATGGAGCATTATAACGAAATGAGGGCCAGGTCGATTAGTGGGACAACATAAAGAGCGTGAACGGTAAGCGCAGTGACGACGCATCCAATAGCGCGCTGTCGTGGGCTGAGCTTGAGGGAAACAAGAACATGCGGGCGCATTAGGAGAGTAAAGGCCCGTTCACACAGTTGCGTTCGGAGCGACCACTATGCTTACTAACGAATGCAACCGCTGCGACTTCAACGACCACTGTACGCGACGTGTACACACACATGCAACCGCATGCAACCACACGAATCACCAGCCAATGAGAAATGAGCTTCAGCTCTTTCTCCTAGCCAATAGTGAGCAACCCAGCTACGCTTACAAACATGGCGGACGGTTTCGTGCCCGACGCGGGGTCCTCACCGGAGCAGCCCGAGGTTTCGGCTACGGCGTACAGTCACGAAGATCTGTTGTGCGCCTACAATAGCTTTGTAAAGGCTGGTTCAGACCAGAGTTCAGACATCTGAACCGAACTCGTTATCCACGACTGCGTCCGTTGTGACCGGAACGACCGCTCTGCGCCGCGCGTACACTCCTGCTACCACTGCAACAAGCGCAGCGGGTAGGCAGCACGGCGACCGCCTCTCCGTTGCCGTCAGCTGTTTCAGCGGTGCCTCTAAAAAGAAAGGGACGCGCTGCCATTCACTTGCGTAACAGAAAATAGACAGAGTAATGACCTAAAGCTTCATTACTCTTTTTTGCAGGATACGCTTACAGGGTAGCGCATTAAGAAAAGAAAAAAGATGCAGTACGGCGTCTTGCACGATCACGACTTTAATACACGACTTCGCCAACAGTACAAATCTCGCCACACGCCTTTTCTACGATTAGAAGAGATGATGTAACCTTAGCAACGATATAGCAACGTAGAAATATAGTTTGACAGACGTAGCGAGCGTTCAGGATTGCTAACACTAATCACCTTTTTCGGGTGATGAAAACGCGTGAAAATTGGCATTCTTTATATGGTACGCACCAGTAATACCTTGAACTTGAGCACACGCATGCAATGCGCCAAAAAAGAAATCTGGGTGATGTTCGAGGACACAAATGCTAAGAAAGCACCACTGTAGTCGAAGTAAACAAACACGCCGGCACGGGCGTTTCTGCTGTCTTGAGAGTGCCGCCACGAGATCGCCGCACGAGTAGGTGGATCTTCCCTTCTAGTACGTGCTGGGTTATCATAACGCCACGCGACGAAAATTCACAATCAAGGATAGCGCTTTTACGGAGAACGATGAGCGCCCACCACGCCGTCCACGTCGACGATCACCACCGACGCCATGTTCGCAAATCGAACGCGCGCGACCGAGCCCTCTTCGACCTGTGATTGGTCTGTCGCTCCCGTCGTTCCCGAACGTAACGAAAAAGTTCAGCCCGGCTCAACTCCTTGCGTTGCGAACGAACACGAACGAAACGACCGTTTGGCGCTTCGTTGCTATGGTAACTCGTCGTTCCAAGCGGTTGCATTCGTTCGTAAGCGTAGTGGTCGCTCCGAACGCAACTGTGTGAACGGGCCTTAAACAAACGCACGAGGTGCTCACGGAGCTGACAAACTTCCAAGACGTAGAGACAGGGCCATTCACGAGAAAGAAGCAGCGCGGCGTAAGTCTTTCATCTTCTCGGTTCCGCAATGGCTCGCTTCCGGAGCTATGATGCCGGAGTTTCCGCTGCGCAAGAAACGGCGCGCGGCGCTGCAATTGCATCTCGCTCGACGGTGCATCACATTATTTGTTACCACTGCCTTTGGCACAATGGAGTTTACTGGTCACTATCGCAGCTCCTCACCTTTTGACACACCTGGGGAGGATAACACAGCCACTCCTCCGGCAAATATAACGCTGTATATGGCTATCAGGTTCTCCAGGGAATTGTCGAGATGCACCAAAACTTTGTCGCCTTTCTTGATGCCGTGCCCCTGGAACCCAGCTGCGTATCGCTGGCATGTCTTGAGAAGGTCCTCGAACGTGATCTCTTCATTTTCCCAGACCTGCGAAATGTTTATACAGTTTAGAACTAATGTCTTGTGGGGAAAACAGTTAGACTATAAATATTTGGGTAAAAGTAACACGATATTGAAACTAGCCGGTGTAAAAACAAATTGTCTAAATTTTACAGAAAGTTTTAGCAGAATCAAATAAAAATCTGTTCACGTAGTACAACTGTTAGGGCATACAGAAATTTATTTAGTAAAAAATATATATAATAAGAGAACTGTGAAACTTTCATGCTACTTTATGTTAAAAATACATCGTTTACAATGTTGCAAGAAATCCCAAAGCTGGTTGCACGACCACGCTCCGAACCACATTCATGTAGTGCAACAAAGCTGGTGTTGCCAGGCCCATCACTAATGTAACCAGCATAAAAGCTCTTTAGCAGGCGCTTGATCACATCGAAGAGCAATGTGTGACGCTCTCTTCCAAGGAATTATTGTTTGCTTTCCAAGAAATCCAGTTTGGCGGAAAAAATGCATAATTGTCAGAAAACGCAAGGACCACAAACAACTTCTTATAAAACGCACGAAACTGCCCATATGTGCGCAATTATGTGCGTTCCCCTACGAAGGAATATCGCCATTTCAACCAACGACGGCTCGAGGTAGCTTTCAGAGACGAATTTGTCGCTAAGCCACCGTTTGTTTTTGCTGTCGTTAGGACGGCACAGTACTTTTTTTTTTATCTATTTTATAAGGCTCTTGCATTTGATTTCATTGTCGAGGACACTAAGCAGTGTGTTCTAAAACTTCGACATCCAACGTTAATATGAATGCCGGTGACACATGGGGCCCTGCCGGTGACGCCTTCTGCTACCTTTCTTATTCCTATGCACGTAAACGATTCCTCGTTAGTGTCGTATTTGGTATTAAGCGCAGAAGAAAACAGACGGTTCAGTCAACGACAAAACTTAAGAAGTACAACGTGCCCCCCCCCCCCCCCCCCCAAGAAAAAAAGTGGTTCTTTTTACACGCAAAAATGAATTACTTATCCCCTCACGTTCATTCCCCGTGCAAATGTAGCGCCAGCACAGAGAAAGGGATGCCAAAATTCAGCACTTAGGGTTACTGTAAGGATCAGAGCGTATGTTTTCCTTAATTAGTTTTCTTTATCCTTCACCGCTTGCCGGCATTGCCGAGAGGGCTGGCGGTGCGCGGGAGCGAGCAAATGGGTCGTCCGCGAGCGTGCTCGGCGCCATCGCGCGGGGGGAATGTTTCTCCTTGGGGGACGGAGGCGGACCCCCGGTGGAGCACGGTCGGGGGAGTTTGAGCGGGAGAAGTCCCCAAGTTCGTCGCGGACATGTGTCGTCCGCCGGCCCTTTGTTAATAAATGTATAGTTAACAAGCATCAAATCGTCGTCGCTGCCACTGGCTCGCCATCGAAGTCACCTGCCGCGATCGGAGAGAGGATCCTCGACAACTGACGCCTCTCCCCACACAACAAGAATCTTACTGTTATCTTATTACAGAGTTTTACGTGATTTTCTGAACAGTTCAATGGAAAAATGAGGTCAATTTTTTTTTCCGTTTTCGGTAAATGCCGTTATAGAATTAGATATATTCGATAACTTTGCCGGGCTCCGGTTCCCCAGTAAAAATAAATATAAAATCAAACCTATTACTTTTAATTCATAAACGGTTGGTGCCGAAACTTCAGCATTTGGTTCTGATTACTAACACTATATTTCGGCGACGCGGAGTTTATTTTTGTGCGAAAAACACAGAGACTGAAAAATTACTTTTAAAAAGTAATTAAATCACATCACTCATCGCCTTTTTAAAACTGCAAAAATGGAATTAAATTGCATCGCAGGCTATTTAATGACATTACACTACAATTACTTTCCAAAATTAATGCAATTACTTTGACATTACTTTCCAATTCATTGAGACAGCCATTCGTGCTCATGTTAAATGTCTTATGTGCGTTGAAGTTAACAATACTGAACAGCCGTTTCGCTGGCATAGGAAACAGGTGTCAAACATGATGAATAGCTTCTTTAGATGTGACTCAAAGACAGTCGACTTAACGATTTCGCTATTCATTGAATAGTGAGTGTCCTCAGATAAAGGTTGATATGTCTCCGTCTTTCTGATCTTGAAATAGTCCGTGTGAGTAAGTTAAGTCGGGCCATGGGAGGCTCGATCTTACAAGAGATTGTCATCTGAAACGGTTCCCTACCAACTAGGACGCAACTCAATCCTATTCTCCTAAGCACACTAGTTGACGCCTTCCCGGTCATTGCTCTCAAGGAGTAAGGCTCACAAACGCACGAAGAGCTCAAAGTTATTGCGCGTTGCCACACAAGGATTTTTATTAATCGGAAGCGTTGCCAGTTGAAGAAAGGGATGGCGCGAGCTTCCTAAAATGTGTGCTTTCCCAACAAACAGGTGGCAGTGTCTGATCGCTTCCTTATTCGCGAATAAACTTCGCAAGGCAAGCCAGAGAGACATAGCGGGAGCGGTACCCGGTTTGCTCGATTCCCGTCTTTTCCGACTACGAAAACACACTTAGCAAAGCCAAAGAAAGCCGCACAAAATAGAGTGTCTTTATATTACTGTCATGTGTTGTTCATGCTAGTCAAAGCTTGCAGTTTGAAGTTGCATGACGAAAGAACAGGAAGGCTGGGGATCTGCGTGTCATTTCCGCTCGGGTTTTGAAGTCTGTTGACCTCACTGGGGATGTGCCTGCTGCCTTGTAGCCTATAAGCCGTTCACCCCAAATCTGACAGTGCGGCGGAGGGTACGTGCTCGTTGGAACAGCCACACGTCTACATTTCGTCACGTAACCATGCTCTCGTTCATACAGACACACAGAGGAGGGGTCGTGTCAAGTGATGATAGGAAGGTGGTTCATTGGTTCCGGTGTGCTTGTAGTGCCGACCCCACTGTCAGCTTAAAGATGAACGGGGGGAAATGCCTCTTCACGGCATTTCACCTTGCAAACTAATTTTTTTCTTAACGCTCGCGAACGAACTTTTTCACTCTGGACAAAGATAATTTAAAAAGTCATGAGTAATATTTTGGAAATTGGTGCCTGCAAGTAATTCATCACATTAATAAATCGCCGACCAATAAGAGTAACTCATCATTCCTCATTGCCACAAAACGTAAATTAATCACTTTATTTTTATTACAGTAATCTTATTACTGCCATGTCTGGAGAAAAAAAAAACTTTTTTCACACCTGGTACGATTGCGAACGTATTTTAGGCCGCAAACCCGGCGGTGTCTGCTGAGGAACTATTTTGTCCGCCAACGAACTTTCTTTTCGACCAAAGTCAGAAACTTAAATAAAAACCGGAATGTAAGACAAAAAGAAGAATTAGAACCAGTTGATGTTTCATTACGTTCCCCACCAACGACTCTGACACAATCGATTAGAAGGGAACAAAAGAATAAACTCTGGTGATCTGGAAAACACTACTTCCGGCAGAGAAGGACACAATAGACGTTTATTTATTTATTTGTTTACCTATTTATTTATTTACTTTGAAGATATTGCCGGTCCACTTTTGAAGGGAAAGGCATAGTGTAAGCAAAACAATAAAGATAATTATAAAAGCAAGTAAATACAGATAAACATCTAGTAAACAAAGAGTAAGCAGTTTAGACCTTGGTGTACATTCTTACGAAGAAAAGTTAATCAAGTTCACTAGAAAATGTACCAAAGAGACAATTCCCGTCACGATGTGGAGCAACTCGTTGCGCTCGTGACAAAACCAGACGAAAGAAGCTCGTTCCACATGAGACGAAAGCAGGTGAATGTCGGCGACATTGATTGCGGGAGCGATTTTGAGCTGGAAGCTATGTAGCACCAAGGTCTTGTGCAAGCACCTTATTGTTACTAATACGAAGTGACGGCTAACTGCTGCCAGAATTTGGCTCCGTTGATCGTAGGGGATGGTGTTACCTGCCCAGCCATCAGACTCGCTCTACGGTGAAGGCGAACATAGTCACGGGTGGCTGGAACGCGTTGAGATAGGGACAGGTCGTAGGCCTTCTAAAAACAGCTCTTTCATGAACAGAACGTCAAAGGTTGCGCCCGGTCGACCAGAAGAACTGCGATGGACGCTTGCATCTGTATTTTTTTAATGCCCGACGTCGCTCACCTAGACTATTACGAGAGAACAATTGTGTTCTTATTTTTTTTTTCTGAATGATATGGCTCGGAAGATGCTCCTCGCCTAACAGGACCTTGCTGGCAAGCCTCGGCAGCTTCTTACTGGAACAAACCAGCCAAGCGGGACGCCGTTTACCGCATCATGACCAGCGGTCAGCCCGCTAGCGCTAGGTTCCGTCTACTCGCGCAGCAAAAGAGCCATCGCACAGCAAGAGTTCCGGTTCACATGATCAAGATCGGCGCTGCTCGCCCATTCTCCAGTAGCTGTTCATCTCCCCTCCTCCTCGTCTCGAAAAACAAGCAGGCAATTGGCGACCCTGCGATGACTATCGCAACTCAAACTTGGTGAAACTTCTCGACCGCAGCCGATCTCTCCTACACTGTCATCGCGTCTGGTACCAACGTAAATTTTTATGAACTCGATATCTTGAAAGGAAAACGAAGAAGACACGCGGAAAAGAAGGTGCGCCGGGTCAACTCAGCCTAAAATGATGAAATTTTGTGCACAATAGTTTTGACGTAATCGAGAATGAAATCAAGATGAGACATTGATTGCTGCGTCATCCGAACGCTGCGTCATCCTTCGGTTAGGCCTCGTGTCCAATCAACGAGTCGAATGACATTTGGTGTCGGGCTCGCGTCCTATTGCATGGTTGGCGTCATCTTCCTGTGATGTCGTTTTATGAAATAAGAGGAACATGTTCATTGGCCTTGATTATTCTGGGTGGTGTTTGCCAGGCACCCTATTTTAATACTTACAGTAAGCAGAAGAGCTCAGCAGGTCTATCCAATAACTGTCCCGGTACCAAAGGGCTGCTAGTACGCACATTTTTGTGCTTGCATATACTGCTAATACGTATCTTTAAAGAAGCAAGGGTAAAAGCACAGGCGAGCTGGTGAAGAACTTCCATCGTAAACCGGAGACACGGAAAAATAAAAAAAAACGGACAAAACAACAACAAGTCTCAAACAAAGCTTCTAGTTTATTTGAACACCTCCGCTCTTATATATACACCACAACCCTCCTCTCCAAAGATCGACACACCTCCTCTCCACTCCATCAACGACATCTCAAACTGAACCAATGACACATGCTACCTCCCTTCCTTTCATACCAACCAAAAACTGACCCAGACGACCTCCTTTCCAATCCATGATAACAGGCACTCAAACAACAAACCCTGCTAACGATGAAAACACCCCACCCCCCCCAAAAAAAAAAAAAAAGAAGATAGATTTTTCGGAAACGACCAGCCACAGCCGATAACAGGCCTATCCAACAGACACGGTGTTAACATTCAAACACCCCTCAAAAAAAAAAATTTTTTTAGAGACACAGAAAGCGTTTCAGTTCACTTCCGAAAGCCAAGGACGGTGTGCTGACACAATTGCCACGCTCCAAAATACACAAAGTGTCCCTCACAACTCTCCTACCATTTTCTTTCTCTTTATGCAATACCTGGGTATCCTCCCACTCAGGCTGACAGTGATTGCAGTCTACAACATGTTTAGCTATTTCTGAATGCTGCGCCTTGTCTTTTACCGCCCTTTTATGTTCCAGCAACCTTTCATTCAAACAGCGACCAGTTTGACCTACATAAGACAATCCACACCGCAACGGAATGTCGTATACCACTCCTACTTGACAAGTTAAATCAGGGTTTTGGTGTATCTTTAGGCAACCCTGACGACCACCCGAAAAGGGGGTTAAGCTTTCCAATTTATGTTGTGCCTTGAAAACTAAATTTACTCCGAACCTCTTGGCCACTGACTTCAAATTGTGAGATATTCCATGATAGTAAGGCACACAAACCACATTTTTCACAACCGGTTTTGCCGGTTGTGAAAATCATGGATTATCTCACAATTTGAAGTCAGTGGCCAAGAGGTTCGGAGTAAATTTAGTTTTCAAGGCACAACATAAATTGGAAAGCTTAACCCCCTTTTCGGGTGGTCGTCAGGGTTGCCAGGTCTTTGAGCTCCAACCCGCCAAACGTCTACGAGATATAGCCCAAAAATAGCCAAAGGTCGATACAGCAAAATAGCCCAAAAATAGCCCAAAAAAACTTATCATTTGAAACGTTTCTTTTTAGCAGAAAAGACACATATTACATTTTATCCATCAAATTCCCCAGATATGACGTCCCTTGCACGTTCGGCGAACTTCTTGAAACGCTCGTACAAGCGCATGACAACATACCTTCCACTATATTGGGACGCTTTTTACTGTACACGTTTGCAAGTCCGGTCTCAGGGCGCCGCCATCGTTCTCCGTGGGGTGCGCTCTTGGGCGCTGCCATAATCCGATTACGACGCCTTAGCAAGGCTTCGTAATCGGGTTATGGCTCGTCCAGAGGCTCTGGGCTCGCCCAAGCACACCCCAGCCAAGCAAGATGGCAGCGCCCTGAAGCCGTACTTGCAAACGTGTATGGTGACCAGAATGACGTCACGGGAGAACCATGCAGAATTCAGACAACCTAAAGAATGCGCAAAACAGGTGCTGTTAAGGCCACAAGGAATCACGCCGTCACTTGTTGAGATGGAGTAATAACAGCACATGCTTGCATTCGGAAGGAAACAATTGCACAAGGCGCGCAAAAAGAAGACGAATTTGTTTGCTGTAGCAAACTTATCAGGGTTAAGGGACCGAAGCGCCAAATGTTCACGCAACTTACTCTAAAAATACATTCGAACCTATAAACCCAAGTGCTTTCAAGCATTTTTGTTCCAGCACAGGTCAGAAATTGCCCAATGCGCAGGTCAGAAATAGCCCAATGCACAGGCTAGAAATAGCCCAATACTAGCCAAATAGCCAACTACCATTTTTTCCCGCCAACTGCAAATAAAACTAGCCCAATTTGGCTATTTATAGCCCACCCTGGCAACCCTGGTGGTCGTCAGGGTTGTCTAAAGAAACACCAAAACCCTGATTTAACTTGTCAAGTAGGAGTGGTATACGACATTCCGTTGCGTTGCGGTCTTATGTAGGTCAAACTGGTCGCTGTTTGAATGAAAGGTTGCTGGAACATAAAAGGGCGGTCAAAAACAAGGCGCAGCATTCAGAAATAGCTAAACATGTTGTAGACTGCAATCACTGTCAGCCTGAGTGGGGGGATACCCAGGTATTGCATAAAGAGAAAGAAAATGGTAGGAGAGTTGTGAGGGACACTTTGTGTATTTTGGAGCGTGGCAATTGTGTCAGCACACCGTCCTTGGCTTTCGGAAGTGAACTGAAACGCTCTCTGTGTCTCTAAAAAAAAATTTTTTTTTGAGGGGTGTTTGAATGTTAACACCGTGTCTGTTGGATAGGCCTGTTATCGGCTGTGGCTGGTCGTTTCCAAAAAATCTATCTTCTTTTTTTTTTTTTTTTTGGGGGGGGGGGTGTTTTCATCGTTAGCAGGGTTTGTTGTTTGAGTGCCTGTTATCATGGATTGGAAAGGAGGTCGTCTGGGTCAGTTTTTGGTTGGTATGAAAGGAAGGGAGGTAGCATGTGTCATTGGTTCAGTTTGAGATGTTGATGGAGTGGAGAGGAGGTGTGTCGACCTTTGGAGAGGAGAATTGTGGTGTATATATAAGAGCGGAGGTGTTCAAATAAACTAGAAGCTGTGTTTGAGACTTGTTGTTGTTTTGTCCGTTTTTTTTTTATTTTTCCGTGTCTCCGGTTTACGATGGACGTATCTTTAATAGTTTTCTTTTATTTTTGGAGAAGCTATGTATTCCGACCAATTTTGCAACAAACGCGACTATATTGATGATCATCAATCCGATTTGAAGGTGGTCTAGATGAAGGAAACATATTCAGAAAAATCGGCATGAAACCTTACCACAGCAGTTCGGTTGCCATGTTGCTCGAGGTGCTGTTTTACAGCCTGGTACAGTGACATCTCTGGCACGGCTTCCGAAGGGTAAGGGGAATAGACGATTCCATTTTCAATCCTTGCCTTCAGTGTCATCTTTTTAAATAAGGGTTAGATTGACCTGGATCAAGAAAATACACATTTTTTGTTTAAATATTTAAGTGCTAATGAAACCCACAATTTTATCATTGATTGCGTCATGCGTGCGTGGCAAAGTCAGGACACATTCGCGGGCCTCAACTTATTCAATTATTGATTATGCTGAGGAATGCAAAGCCGGATGTTCACGTGAATCATTGAAACATTTACAGCTGTATTTCGGTGAATAACGTCATATCCAAAACTGCATTGTATACACAATTGCGTATTTTCGACACCTTTTTCTACTAGAAAACTCTGATAAATTAAGTCACGTGATGTGACCAGACTACATAAAACCTGGTCATGCGACGTCACTGCGGTAGATCGTAGTGTCACGCAACTTGATTACGTGACAGGGACGGTTTCAAGTTATATAGTCAAGTGACGTCATGTGGCTCAATGTCACGGGACACCTTGACGTCAAGTAACCTCACGGCACGCGGCGAGGTCGTTGCGTTAGGTCGTGGTGGCGCGTCACGTCGCATCACGTGGCACAGTGTCAGGTGACGTTCCAACGTCACTTTCACACCACAGCTTAACACTCAACATTACTAGATTAAAAAAAAAAATTTTGTTTGGTACCTTGACGTTTTATGACGTTACGGCTTCGAAACTGCGGGTCGCGTGAGGCCGCGACATGTCGCGCAGGCTGCGTAGTACGGATGAACATAAACTTTTAGCTAGCTGCAGCCAGAATCCAATTATACATTCATAAACAGTGAGTATCCCGTGCGCGCATGCCTAAAATACAGCACCTCCATGACCTCATGCAGGTAGCAGGATGGTCTAACTCAAACAACAGCGTATAGCGACTCGTCTCCAAAAACTACGATAGAGAGACCTCCACTAGACCCTTTTTCGAAACCCCATCGAGCAACATTGGCGGTCGCCATTTTATGCGTACCAAGCGTGTGATGTATGGACACCCTATGCAATACATGCACAGGGTGTCCATACAATGGCGGGCTCGTACAGTTGGCGCATCAGCTACTCGATGGAGCGCACCTTTCGAAAGGGTTCTATTCAAGAGCCCACCACCCATACTCTCGTTTCGAAAATAGCAAATGTCTCTATGCTAGATACCATACACGATGCTACGAATATACGTACCAGGAACTTCGTGCACTCTAGAAAGAATCTGGAATCGGAAAGATCCAGTCGATTCCGCCGACAAGCCAGCAAGCGCTAAAAAAGGGGGTAGTACGAACAAATGTTCATAAGTTGCGATCAAAAAATAACAGCTTTACTTTAACGCTCTTGTTTTCAAAGAACGCCATACAGCTGTTTAGAAAAAAAAAGTAGGGTGATATGGAGAGCTGCCATATCTGTCGTCCGTAATTGAAGTATATACCAAAAAAGAAGTTCGTACGAATGAAGTCGTATCACATGAACAAAAAATACCATCTGTATCATAAAATATACCTCGAGTGGGATATACGCATCTCCCTGTCGTTAACTTGCAAGCGATGTCAGCAAAAAAAAAAAAAAAGCCTAAATCGGTGTCCTCGGTCGTAGCTAGAATACCGATTTAGGCAGTATTGGCCAAGTGAATGACAGCCTTATATACATACTCTATACATAAAAGGCTGGCATCGGTATACCTAATGACCAAAATTCTCGGTGTAAGTTTTAATCAAAAAGTTATTATAGCCAGTGTTGGGTAAAGTACATCTAAAAGGTGCTTCAAGTAAAGTACAAAGTAAATGAGACGTGGTGCGCTTCAAGTGAAGTAGTAAGTGCACTCGGTGCAATGTATACTTGAAGTAAAGTGATATAAATACAATGGTACTTCCAAACAATCTTTCATGGTGCTCTTTCATTTCCATGTACAGTGATTTTGTAACTGGTATGCATTGCCAAAGGTTAATCAGGGGTGCATGACCTTATTTCCAAAACAGATGCGAATATTTGATAAAGCCAAATGGCCATAGAGTAGTTTTTCTCGGGATTAGATCCGAATACAGATGTCCCGCTTCTCAATTTGGCGCCGCTTGCACTGGCTAGTTGCACCCAAGGGGGTTAAATGTACTATGAGAGAGCATGACATCAGCCCCGTACCTTCCGCAAGCAATCTTCTTAAAGAGAAGTGTCCTCTCCTTAGTAAAAAAAAATAAAAAAATAAAAAAAGAGCAGTGAGTGTGCAAGCGAGCTGGTGATAATTCATCATATTGTGACACCTGAGATTGGGGTAGGAAAGATTAAGCAACTTTCAAGTCCAAGAGAAAGGAAAAAGGGAATGTCTCAAAACATTGTGGCGTTCTCTGTTGTCTTTTTCTTCGACTTAAGAGTTTAATTTCTCCGCACCACAGTCTCAAGTAGTACATTATAAATAATTATGCTCTCCTAATATTTTAAATCTCCTCGTTTGCGCTGACCTACCGAGAAGTAGCGAGAGTTCCGGAGCAGTGCCAGCAGCGCTACGTACACTGACTAAGATGGCCGTCATGGTCGTCTCCGGATTGCGGCACCCACGCCGAACTACAGTAGCGAAACCACGCGGAACTGTGTCGACGTTTTTAGCGTTATGGAAATCGCAGGAACTGCGTCCAACACAGGCAGGTTTTGTTGCCTGCTTCCTGGGTGCCTTCCGTGCTGAGTTCGGTTCTGTTTTCCAATGCCGAGTGCCAACCGGCGTTCAACGTGGTTCTGTATTTCTGCGTGTCAGCAACATAGCACCAACATCGTGATGGCAGTGTTGTGGGTTGTGAACAGAAGACTGGAATTATCGGCGATGTTACCGTATGTTCTCGTGTCAGTGGTGTAACAAGAAGATGAGATGACGTAAACTGTCGGGCATTGATGACGCTGGTCGGGACGTGATCGGGGGGGAGGGGGGGGGGGGCGGGGTGTCGCAGGTTGACATTCCGCTTTCCATTAAAAAGTTTAAGACCACTCGAGGGATTAGGCACGTGCGATCGATCGACTTAGGGATAGTCATGTTGGAACGCTGGTCTGAACAGTAAGCTCCTATCGTACAGTGGCCAATGGGACTGTCAGTTGTCTCCTCGCCGAGGGCGATTGCGCTCTGGGGAAAGGACTTAACAGTACAAAATTATGACGGAAAGTACATATATTTACAGTGTGGAATTTTAGCAATAAAAAAGAATAGTAAGGAAAAATCCAAAAAAAAAGCTACCCTTTATTTTGCTGTTTAAATACACTACTGTTCCTCGAGAAGCTGCCTTTTAAGTGGCGCGCTGGGATGAGCGCTTGAAGTTTTCGAGCTCGCCACGGCGTAGCTCCGTACACTAAACACCTGCCGCAAGTCGCGGCTTTGATTGCATTTATGTTGATCAAAAAGCGATTTCTCTGCCCGTGAAGCATCACTTCCAGCTGAGTGAATATTCGCTCTGCAGAAATTAATTAAAGACGGCAATTGCAGCCAAATAGAAAAAAACACACACTACAATAGAAATACAGGCTATATACGGCGTGCCGTATGGGGAAACAAACTGGCTTCGAACCGCACTGGAGCGGCTTGATTTATATGCTTTCAAATAATTACGGCATGATCGAGCGTTTACTTTTTAATAAGAAATTCTTCCCTTGAGCAATTCAAAATACTCTCAGAGGTATGACATTCCTGGAAAAAAATGAACATGCTGGGAATATTGTTTATTGCTTAGGGAGTCATCGAGAAATTTCGTACGTTTAAAACGAGCAGTATAAAAGACGGAAACGTAGAGCTCGGGTCTAGTGTTCGGGTTAGCGTGCCGTTGTATTGATGTTTGTATGTGCCTTGTATGTGTGTGCGCTCAATGTATATTCACCTGATGCTTGTAGTATGCGTAATGTGTCTACACGTGTGTATAGGAGGGGTTCCTGAAGATCCCGATGCGCTATGGTGGCCTGAGGAAATAAAAATATTTTCGGTGGTACCTAGTGCCACCTAGCTAGCTACTTGCAATTACTCTGCTTGACCCTGCCATCTGGTGGCAAGCGATTTAACCTTCTTTCACGCTACGCGATCAACAGCGGCTTCGAGTTTGTTCTTTTGAGAGCGGCTTTAGGTTCCGCGGATTGGTTTTCCATTCCTCCGTGATGTGCGGTTGACGAAGGATTTGTGACTCGAGGAACAGCTAAGGTAAGACTTAAAGGGCGCGAAGTAACTAGGTATCGGTTGTCTCCGTTTAACATCGCAGCGCTGACGACGAGAAGACTTAGTAACTGCTTTCGAAACGGAAGTTTCTGTACCTGCGGGGGGAATCTGGCTTCGGAAATAAACACAGCTCGCGGACAGCTCGTGTTACGGTCTTATTTGCTGCTCCTCTCGTCCCGTACAAGAGACGTAGCGTCCTCGTTAAGCCTCACTGAGCTAGATTTGCTCGATTCAGGGCCGCCATAATGAGATGCAGGGAACGGAGGAACTAAGTTTCTCCCTTTCTAAAGGAACACAGGTTAAGACCGTTCGTGCCCTTAGGGAGGACTATCGATACCCTTTTTTCTAAGAGTGAGGGGCGTTGCCTTTTGTATCCCTTGGGCGCCGCCGGCCAGTGTTTATTCTGCCCAGTGGCGGCTGTTCGAGGGGGGGCAAAACACATCCCTTGCCCCCTCCCCCCCCTACCCTAAGAACTGGGAGGGGGGGGGGGGCGATCAAGCGCCCCCCTTGCCCCCTTTGGTTGGTACGCCCATGTCCGTCGGGCATCACCTCGTAGTTCAGATCCCCAAGTCGACGAAGCATTTTGTAGGCGCCGATGTACCGCTTTAATAGCTTTTCGCTGGGACCACGGCGGCGGATAGGTCTCAGCGCCCACACTCTGTCTCCGGGCTGAAAGTGGAGGTCGCGACGACGAAGGTTGTAGCGGCCATCGTCGACACGTTGCTGGTCATGTGTCCGGAGTCGGGCGAGCGGGCGGACTTCTTCGGCCCTTTGCGCAACAACCTGGGCGTCGTCGATCCCAGCGTCAGCTGGCTCGTGGAGCCGCATCGCGTCGATCATCGTCGTTAACTTGCAA